GAAATATATCAATCAGACTTTTGAATACATGTGGAAATACAGAAATGAAAAATGAAAACAAACTTATTTGTGATTGACGATCGTGTTTCGGGGGGACTCTACTTTAATTGATTGATTATATCACATTAAATAATTCTGTCTGAAAAGAATAATTACCTTAGTGACACGCAATCTGTGGACGGAGTTGCACCATAGGGGCGTGTTGTGTAAGGGAGGTGGGTCTGGGGGGGCGGGGCTGTGACGGTGACACATGAACTGCTCCTCGGTGACGTTGCTGCTCAAACCCACATCCACACTCACGCATCCTGCACCGGAACCTGCAGCTTCACCCGCGGACCGGACCCAGACGCCATCCAGGAGGAAGCCTCACCTTCAGGGACACCCCGCTCACCTCCTCTCTGGTACCGTCTCCTCCGTTACATCCTGTATCTACTGTATTTACAGCACGGGGACAGTGTTAGCTTTAGCTCGCTAGCCCGGCGCCGCACACAATGAAGCGAAGCCTCCTGTGTGATTAGCGTTGATCTCAAAAGCTTCTGCACTCTTTGGTCACTTTCTACGTGTGTCCCGCAGCTAACACTTGTCTCTGACTATCACATGGCTCTTGATGCCACAGTGTAATGTGCGGATGAGGCTGACTATCATCTGGCAACAGGAGCCGGTGCTTAATTCTTAATTTAGCTCCAGGCTGTGGTGCTGTTGGGTGTGGGTGTAGCCCCGACGACCAATCACATCACATCAGAAACAGGTCCAATGTCATTGCTTCTCCAGGTCCTGACTCTCCGCCTCTGTTTACTCATTCACTGTGCCAGGTTACCTTATGTCCATGCTTTTTCCATTCTAACATTTATTTTCCAGGTTATGTGTCATCTGGTGCAGTTTTACAGTGGATTTTCATCATCACCTCAGTCCAAAGCAGGAATACGAGTCACTTCAAAAGAATCCAGTGACATCACGACAAAAGAAGAACCATATGAGTCAGTGTTGAAACATTTCGAAAGAGTCTGTAAATGATCAGCAGCAAGAAACCAAGCTTTACTAGCTGGTAATAGTGAAGGACAACGTCTGATTATGACCAAATAGAAAAGTCTGGAACTCCACAGTGGAGCTGCCACGCTGCTGTGGTTTAATCTTTTGTTGGCCCCAGACAAAGCAAAAGTCTGTTGTTGAATGTGGGGGGAAAAAAGATGCGTGCTTCAGCAGACCTGTAAAGCCCCATGTGCTCTGTGGAATTAGCTGTTTCAGATTATCAGGGCCCGAATTTTGTAGATTACGCTAAAGTCTTTGGTAACAGCATCGCAGCTGATTATGGAAACAGGAGTTTATTGAGGCTGTGGAAGATATTTGGAGGACATGACTATGTTAAGAAAAAAATCCACAGAGCACAAACAATATTAACAGTAACTGAGGAAATGGCATCGTAAATCTATTTAACCATCAAAAGAAGGTAATAAAACAAAGATAAAGTAATAAAGATAAGATGATAAGAGAGAAGCAAGTAAACCAGAGATAAAAAGTAGGATGTTAGAGGCAAATCAATTCTGATTGGGGATAAAAAACCCACACGCAAAAAAAAATCAAAAAGCTTATTTTATGGTCCTTGTTTACTTTGAATACTGTACTAAATTCTTTTTGTTTTTGTCATAGCTCCATACAATCATGAAGGGAATGATTCTTCAGCTCAGCCGCAGCCTGAGCCGTGCTGCCCCTGTTCTCCGCCACAGCATCTACTCCGGTACGCGTCCCGCCTCCACCGCCACCTCCAAGCTGAAGTCCGAACGCCAGCTCACCCCAGAAGAAATCTACGCCCGCGAGGACAAGCATGGAGCGCATAACTACCATCCCCTGCCTGTGGCCTTAGAGCGAGGGGAGGGTGAGTTCAACAACAGATGCTAACAGATGTTTTTAACCTATAATCTCCAGTCGTGTTCCTCAAAATCACAGACACGTCTCAAGAGCTTGTGTCTTTTTCTTGACTTCAGGTGTCAACGTGTGGGACGTGGAGGGCAACCGCTTTTATGACTTCCTCAGTGCTTACAGCGCTGTCAACCAGGGACACTGCCACCCAAAGATAGTAGCTGCGCTCAACGCCCAGGCCTCCAGACTCACCCTGACCTCCAGAGCTTTCTACAATGACGTGCTCGGAGCCTACGAGGAGTACATCACGAACATGTTTGGCTACGACAAAGTTTTACCCATGAATACGGGTGAGGAAAAGCCCTGGGAGCATCTTCGTAAGGTTTCATTTGCACGTTCATGTTGACATTTATTTTCCTGTGTGCCAAATTAGGTGTTGAAGGTGGCGAGACGGCCTGTAAGCTCGCCCGCAAATGGGCATACAATGTAAAGGGCGTTCCCAAGAACAAGGCCAAAATCATTTTTGCAGGTATGTAAATATTTGTTCAACATATCTGTAACTTGATTCGTTAAATCAGCCAAATCAGCCAGCACCGAAGCTAACATTTTATTAATACAACAATGAGCTGAGATTACCCAGCAGTCCTAGCATAAAGATTGACTCTGAGAACCATATGACAGACCTGCTGTCTTCCTCACACTTGTTGAATAGATGGGAATTTCTGGGGCCGCACCATGGCGGCCATCTCCAGCTCCACGGACCCCAGCAGCTACGAAGGGTTCGGCCCCTTCATGCCAGGGTTTGAGCTCGTCCCATTCAATGACATTCCTGCACTGGAGGTAGTTTTGACACACACACAGGCTCTACTGTAAATGTAATTTTCATTTGTTTTGAAGTTTTGGACTGGTTTGACTTGTTATACGAGACTTCGGGATCTTTAAAATATTTGAACAAAGGTATATGTTTTGGTCCCAGTTGCAGAATACACACTTTTACATGATGTTGAAGGAAGCAAAAGTTTCATCATACTTACAGTCTGTGGTAATGTGCCTGGCAGACGAATGCAACTTGCAGGAACTCAATCTACTGCCAAATTATATATTATTCAGTGTTTCTTTTCCCCTGGACAAGACTATCCTAGAGGAAAAACAAATACATCACATGCTTTTGAAATTAATTTGTTATTGCAATGAAAGAAAGTTGTCAGACTTTGCTCATCCTTGTAATTGAAGGTGTATCTTATTCTGACAACATCATCGTGCTCCTAAGTTCAAAGACGATATTGTAATATCTAAAGCTAGCTCACTTAACATCCACTTTGTCAATGTAAATATAACAAATGACTGAAGTTGTTACTGCTGTGTTACAATGTTCAACCGCTGCTTAGCAAACACAAGAGCCTAATGATTGACTAAAACAGTAAGTTCTTATTGACAGGGGTTATCTTGGACATAGATAAAAATGTCGGACCCTTCTTTTTTTTTTTTCTTTCCAGAAAGCCCTTCAAGACCCACATGTGGCAGGTTTCATGGTGGAGCCCATCCAGGGCGAGGCCGGGGTGGTGGTGCCCGACCAGGGCTACCTGACCAAAGTCAGAGAACTTTGCACCAAATACAACGTAAGTCAAGACACTTGTATTTACTGTATTTGGCCACATATCACACGCTTGCGGACATTTTACCTGAGGGCTGGCAGGAAAAGCTTTAGAAAATGTCCAGAACATCTGACTTGGACATTTGTATTCTCACGGACAGCCTCTCTGTAAAATTCCAGGAAAATGTCCAGACTTCAGTGCATGTCTGAAAGCAGCTTTAACAAGTACATTTAGCATTATCTTCTCTATCTGACCACCTAAATTATTCTGCATGAAGCTTGTGTTGTAACCTGGGCTAAGAATGTGACGTTCACACCAAACTGCCCGCAGGCATCCGAGCACTGAATAACAAATACAGGAGAGTGCTATTGACTCTCAAGGTGCTTGGGAAGACGGGTGGAGTTTCTACACTGAAACCCCCTCTTCTCTCTCACAGTGAATCCAGCAGGGGAGCACTTGCTGTGTTCTCATATCGAATTCGACTGACTACAGACTTTCACCGGGGGGGGGGAGAGAGAGAAAGTCTACAGATAATCCAGAGGCTCCAAGTCGGACATTTGTGTTCCCACATACACTTCCTGGAGAATATGCGGAGGTTCTCTGGAGTTCAGTGCTTGTCTGAATGCAGTATTTCCTATATACACAGCTCCCTAATCTCTGTGTCCTCTGTGTCTTGTCCAGGTGTTGTGGATCGCTGACGAGGTGCAGACAGGCCTGGCACGTACCGGCCGGCGGCTGGCCGTGGACCACGAGGAGGTCCGTCCAGATGTGGTGATCCTCGGCAAAGCTCTCTCTGGAGGAGTTTACCCTGTGAGTTTGTTGTTCAGTCACACTTCATATCACATTACAGATTGTGTTTTCTTTTCCCCTGACAAGTCCAGTTTTGTTGGACAGGAGCATAGATCATAGCAGCGATAACTAACCTTTGCATTAACCAACCTGTGTGTCAGGTATCTGCTGTGCTGTGTGATGATGAGGTGATGCTGACCATCAAACCTGGAGAACACGGCTCCACATACGGAGGCAACCCCGTGGCCTGTCAGGTTGCTATCGCAGCGCTTGAGGTCAGTGTTAACGTGCAATGTATCTTTCTCTGCTCTACCTTTCCTTTAACAAATCATCACTTGTTTTTTCCCCCCTGACTTCAAACTGACTTAATGTCAAGTGTAATAAAAATGACTTTCATGTCACAATTCTTATATGCAGGTGATGGAGGAGGAGAAGCTGGCGGAGAACGCTCAGAAAATGGGAGAGCTGCTGCGGAGCGAGTTAAGAAAACTGCCTAAAGACATAGTGACAACAGTCAGAGGAAGAGGTCTCCTCAACGCAATCGTCATCAGAGAGACCAAAGGTAGAGTCATGTGACGGAAAACGGTAGCGGTGTTAAAAAACATTTGGTTTGGTTTTCTGGCATTGACATGTTGTACATTCGGCAGCTAGTACCTATAGTCTACATTACCCAAAAAATTATATCGATGAATGTGATATAAATGTTGACTACACTTGCATCTTGCTTTCACTTAATGGAGATGTATATTGACCACCTCCCTGTCTCCCTCAGACTACGATGCCTGGAAGGTGTGCTTACGTCTCCGTGACAACGGACTGCTGGCAAAGCCAACCCATGGCGACATCATCCGCTTTGCTCCTCCCCTTGTTATTAAGGAGCATGAGCTATATGAATGTGTGGACATCATCCAGAGAACCATCATGTCCTTCTAAAGTTCTGTGTAGTAACACAGAAAAACCTCCTTCAAATCTATGATCCACATTAGCTGAAGCTGTGACTTGTGGAAAAGTCAAAGATTTACTAGTTGTTTCTTATTTTTCAGTGTTTCCTTCAAAGATGAAGGCTCTTTGAAGGGCATTTCTGTAGATATACAGTATAAAGACACTGTAATGTGTTTGGAGTGAGCTTCTGTGAGGACACAATGACACTTTAGAAAAAGGTCTGTAAAGTAAAGGTTCCTTTAGAGCGCCTGGAGAAAGACTGCAACACATCTGTGTTTTTTCTTAAAGGTTCTTAATTTGTTTGTATACTTATTTCATCTAGATCAGCTCTGAAATGGTTCATTTAGATATTCACTGGTAATGACTGAAGTAAATAATAAATGAAACCTTTTTTTAATTAAAAAGGATAAGTGGTTTTACCAGTGAAATTAAATAGTTCATTATTTCAACTTTATCATCAGAGGCAAAACATTAAATCCAGCTTTTCTGTAGAACTTCAATGCACAGAAGGAAATCAAACCGTTACTCATGAAATCACTGTCTACAGTATACTGGGTTGTATAGACAATAGCTTACAGTTGTATTAGCTTAAGTCTACTCAGCTACTGCTACCTGCTAGCACTCACCTTGTTACCTAAACGTCTGGGTTATTTACAATCCCAAGAGCAGAGATTCTCGCAGAGATTTTAAAAAGCTGATTTTATAAAAAAATTCTGAAAATGTCTTGAAAACTCAAGTTCAAGTAGTTTCCATGTCTGAAACAAACATGACGGCATTTTAATTTAAAATAGTTTATTTTAATTTAACATAAGTTATGACTGTGAAACTTTCTGGGAGCTGTAACTCTTGAAGAACTTTTTTTGCTCCTTAATTTTGTATAATTTGTGGCGTTTATTTCTGCGAGGGAATATGTTGTGTGAGGTTACTGGATGTGAGGGATGACCTAAACTTCTTGCTGAGTGTTTAATAGTCAGCTTTCTGGTGAAAATGTCAACTGTCACAAAACAATGACCTACAGAGAATAACATTTCACCTTGTTACAAAACACGTCCCTTAAATAAATGACTGCTGTCTTGTCTTGACTTGTCTCGCTGTTTTGTGTCGTCTAAACCAAACAAATGTACATGTTCAGGGCAGCATGTTGTGAAGGTGATGAGAACTGTTGCCTTACAGCCAGAAGGTTCTTGGAGTTTGCATGTTCCCTGGTGTCTGGTGTCACCATTCAGGCAAAGTACCCAGATTATTATTACATTCTCAAATACTGTCTGTGCACCTAGTCCAGTATTTTTGCAATCACATATAAGAAACACTAGATGGTGCTGTGCCCTCATTGAGTCTCTACAAATTAAGTGTAGTTAGATGGTGAAACTCATACAAGCAGGTTAAATATATTTTTAAGCAACAGGAAGAAATGTGGTGATATTGCTGTAACATTGATTATCAATTTCCAGACTTAATGACAGATCTTGATAGAAATGCAAAGCACGTGTGCCGAGGCACAAACTGGATGATCGGATGAAACAAGTCACAATTGTCCTGAGCAGCAGGACACTGGCACACTTACAGAGATTTGATATATTCAACACTAGTCATTCCCAAGAGAAACAGTGTCTCCTATAGCAACAACAACAACAGACTGTATCCACATCCAATTTCTTATATAACAACAAATAAACAGCAGTAGCTGCAGAATTAATACAGCCACACAGGCCTGAAACATGGTATCAGATCAGATTCACTGACATTCATGTGCATGTCCATATAACATGTAGATTTAATGAATGAATGAGAACTCGTTGCAAAAACAACATTTTTAGAAATTTGAAATAAATGTAAAATGGGGACTTGCTGGCAGACTCTCACACTCAATCTGTGAGATCAGCAGAGCCTGACAAGCTCTCATTAGTCAGCAGTAATTAACAAACCACAGGGTCTCTGTTCCTCTCACTGCTTATTTACAAACAGGAAGTTGTTTAGGAAAGGCTCTAGTTACATATTGCATGATGTTATGGATCAATAAAATCCACTCTAATTAGATTGTTGCTTTTAAATGTACACTCACGGCCGAATGCTCTTAAGACTTTGTATTGAGGGTGTTTTGGGCACTATTATCTAATTTATTATTTATAACCTGGATGTACATAAAGTCCCACTGTCTGATCTTCTGGTCACTTAACAGCAGTGTTACATTTATCCTGCTGAACCCGGAGTAAACACCAAAAGGTCGGCTTGCTTGTCCTTCACAGAACGTTGTTTACAGTAACAGGTGAAGCATTTTGCTGCATGTTTACATCTATAAAGCGACTATAACACATTTTACAATGTAGATGTTCCTTATGTATTTTGACCTTGCAGAGAATTGTTACCTGAATGTAGATACTTTTTTGCGTTTAAGCTTGTTGTTAAGTTTAGTTGATTTGGTGATTGACGAATGAAAACTACATAGAAGCTAAAAATTAAATAGATTTTTCAACCACTGGCTATAAAGTCTAATCTTCTCTGACCAGTGCCTAATGATCAGATTACTACAGATAACTACAGTGCTTGTAGTTCAATGGTGAAAAGTTCATGTTGGCCCACAATGTAGAACAGGTCATTATTTCATATGAAGCGGAGCAGCGAGAGCACAGAGGCCCGGAGTGTGCTTGTGAAATATGAGTGGAATTCGGCCTGGCAGGAGAAATGAGGAATATCACCGGGTGACACTGAGCAATACGCTTGTGTCTTGCCTCGGCTTTGATCCTGCGCTCTGTGGAGACCTGCATCCCGAGCCGCCGTGATAGGGGGAAGGCATGATGTATTCCACAAATGAGCTCCAGTTTTGGCAGGGGAGTGACAGGCCACAAGCTCTGTGAGGATCTGGGAACACCGAGGTCCAGGCTCCAGCAGAGCTTTTGACAGCCTCAGCCAAAACTGAGAGACGATCCTGTAAAGCTACTTGAATTTCCCCACCACGCGCTCGGAGCCAACAGTCAGCCTGGCCTATTCGAGCATGTGGCGTGAGGCTGGCTGCAAAGACCGACGTGTGCTCCACCACAATTCCACGGACCAAGAAGGTCAAGAGGGACTCATGCAGACTGGATAGATGCTCTCGTTCCTCTCATTCAGCTCTTTGTTCCTCACATACTCTTTTGTCTTCTCTCTTTTTTCTCCTTCTCAGACTCATTTCTTTTTATTCTGTTATCTTTCCCTATGCCTCCTCACTCTTCCTGCCCCTTTGTCTCTCTCTCCGCCGGCCCATTTGTATTCACTCCTTACATAACAGTGAAATCAGATTGTGGTGCTTTGCAAGGATGTAATCAAAGTGCCTTGGCTGAAATTTAATTCAGGTAAAGTTGCAGTTAAGAACAGGATGAATTATAAAACTCTGTATCCATTAAATGTGTGGGAAATAAGGTGTCGGCCTGAGAATTATGATGGATACTGCACTGGGCAGCATAAGCTATTTTACATTTCTTTCCTGCGCCACCGAAGATAAATCAGAGAAAATGTTAGGCTTGCCTGCCAGTGTTCATATTAACGGGCCTTTTGCATTAAGTTTATGACATCTGAGTGCAGGGATGAAATACATGTGCATTTTAAAGGGCAAATGACACATAATCCTTAAAGAGTTATGTGTACTGACCATTTTTCTCCTCCTCCTCCAAGAGCCACTTCCAGTTCACACCATGCAGAGGGGTTATTATGTATTGATCAAGTGCAGCAAGGTTCTGAGAAGGACGAGGTCCTCCCCCACATCTGAGGCCACACTCGAGAAGTGTGACACTCACGCCACTGGCCTTTGTCGTCACACTCTCCCTTGGTCCATTTCTGGGCTGCAGGCATCGTGCAAACCTTCAGAAAGGCAAACGAGACACAGTCTTGGTTATAGAATTAGCAGAACACACGATCTTCATTATTCTTAAATGACGTACAAGTTTATTTATACAGAAGAACATCACAGATGTCATGTACAAAAAAGAGTAACTACAAATTATACAGAAAAAAATCTCCCTAAATCATATTTATGCTCTTAAATTTTCTACATTTTTAGTTTTGCATCCCTTAAATGTTATCAAAATGCAAAAAACACCATATAGTGTTAACATATATACATATATCTAATGGAAAATGTTCAGTACCCGTGTTTTAGCTTTAAAACTTTATTCAAGCAAAATATTTCCCCCCATTTTTAATGTAATTTCCACCTTCCCACACATTTCATTTACACAAAGGCCAATAATAAACAGCATCATCACACAGCAGTGATCATGCAGGAAATTAGATGAATCACATTGAAGAGTATCTGATGCATTAAGTTTCTGTTCTCTGGCCCCCGTGGTACTGAATGTAAAATGTCTGGCTGTGACTCCACTTTATGCAGAAGGAGGATGACTCATGTTTCTGTTGTTCATGTCTCTGGACATCCTCTCTTCACTTTCTGTTAGAAAACAACAACTCAATTATAAATTTGCTTAATTACATTATCCACAGCTGGGAGCATAGCCCTGCATGTTTTAGACTTGAAAGACATGATTAGATTCAATGGACTTCCACTGGTTTGACTTTTGTTTCAGTGTAATGAATGAGGAGAGGTTTTGTTGTTGTTTTTCACACGTCCCTCCATCAAAATATTGGTGAGTAGATAATGAGGGAATTGTTACTTTTGGGTGAACTATCCCTTTAATGTGAACCCAATGATTTCAGCATTTACAAAAATATATACAGAAAATTGTATGGCACATAATGAAGTGAAGCCAAAGCATCTCCATCGCCCCCTGGTGGCTGACTGCATGGGGCTTGGGCTAAACTAATGTGTTAAAATGTGATTGACAGCTGAGATTGACGCTTGGTTGGTTGAGCTCCATCTTCTTAATCGCTGCTACGCAAACTCTGCCTCCAAATGATGTCATTGTCGCAACATGGCATATCCCTGTCTCCGCTATATTTTGGCTTCATTTCTGGACAGTTTGATGAAGAAAGAAAGAAACCTTGGCTTCCCATTTGTGGAGATGTCATGTCATCCATCTTTATGTGAAGTCTATGGACAGTACCTAGAAGCTTGTTGCTTTATTCTGCCCTCAAGTGGCCAAAAAACAAAATCAGTAACCACAACTTTAAATCTGATTTAATTATTTTAAACTTTATCAGTCCCCAGATCAAGCAACTTATTCCTAAAGTTGATATTTCAGTAAGTTTTGTGTGCAGCTACTCCTCCAGTAGGAGGTACAAGGCTCACATGTGGCAGCCACAACACTGCGACCACAGTAAAACGAGCCCACGCCACCACTTGCGGCCATAAAATACGCCTTTGGGTATTTGGAGGCTACACAAGCCGCAGACAGCAGCAGTCAGCATGGCTTTGCCTTTTTTCGCTGCCTTCTTCTCTTTTCAGGTCAACGAAAGTGGCTAGTGGCAAGTTGTCTAACTCGGCCGAGCTAGTACACAAACCGATGCTCCATGAGGACATGGCTTTACGCTACAGACTCACCACAACAGCTGCGGACAAAGCCTCAGTGTTTACAGAGTTCATGGCTGAGGATAAGGAAGAGGAGGAGGCAGCAGGAAGGAGGAGGAGGGCAAGTGGGAGAGATGTAGGTCTCGGCTTCCAGTGCTGGAGGAAAAAAAATGACCATGGGACCACAATGGTGCCCACAGGAATTCAAGTCTCGGCTTAAAAAAAAACATTGAGTGGCCATTCTGCACATTAGTTTGTGTAACAAAAGAGACACTGTAAGACACCTGGGGAAAGAAGAGGAAGAAAATGGAGGTGATGAGGTGAAGGATAAATTGGCCTTGCACATATGGTGCCTGCTACTTCAACAATGGGATTGGATGTGCTGGGCTGTGTGCGCAGCTCAGATCCAAAGAGGTTAATCAAAAGCAAAATGTGTCTGTGTACGGAGGCAGAGACAAGAGGAGTCGTCCGAGGGAGCAACCCAAAGCATCACACTCTGCTGGGCAGGCTGCCACAGAAGCTCTCAGTGTCATAAAGGATAAATCACAGCACTAAACATCGCCGTGGCACACTCCGTCTGATGCAGCACTACCTCGTAGTTTGGCAAACACGAAATGTGACTTTTGAACTTCAGCAGTTTTTGTA